GAACTGAAGCCATTTTCTCTCAGCACAGTCTCTATAAAGACGACAAAAATAAACGTTGAGACATTTGTTGTTTCTTTATGTGGTTGCTGCTCAGCTGACACACCCCCTAATATTTGCATAACAGGACCATATGAAACAGGCAGAGAGCAGCTCATTCTGCAGATACCACACAGCTTGTCTGTATTTCACTGCTCTGGATCAGAGGACCATGTCTGACAGTAAGTGGTGACATAATTATTTTCTATCAGGCATGTTTTTAATTCTCTATTTGCCTTTGTACCAATAGAACTCCCTTCTTAAAGTATAGGGAACCTTTTTCAGATAATCCCGATAAAATGTATTTCTTTAAATTATATTTATCAGGTAAAAACGACATTATGTTTGTTGTTTTCACAGAAGATTTCAGTCGCTGTCCTGGGAAATTAAGATTCTTTGAAGAAATCCTTAATAACGAACATCCTAGGGAAATATTTATCACAACTACCCAACCAAAATTATCTGAAAAATCAATTTAGATTCTCCACCATGGGGCAGGTCCAAAGTAGAAGACGGGTGAGCAAAAGCCTCTCTCAGCAGCATCTTACTAATTTTATAGACAAATGTGTAGTGTTTAGTGAAGGGTGATTAATTTCCTGGACAATGGTTTTGTTCTATTTCTGCCATTTTGGATTTTGACATTTTGAGTATAGTTTTCAATGTTGCATAAAGTCACATGACCTGACTCCCGAGCATTGACTGTGTGAAGGTCCTATTGTAATTGAAGGAATTCTTTTTATTTTTCCTTCCAAATGAACCAATTCGTGGAGGCTTTCCATGCTCGAAAACTCATGAAACGCGGTGCTCATGTCAGTCGTGGCAAAAGTTTTCATATTTTCTAGCTGTCCACTATGAGCATGGCAAAATGGCCCCACAGGGGCCCATAAACTGTACTCGCCATGAAAGAGGGATTTGTCATAACTTCTGCATACATGATCTGATCTCAATGAAACTTCAGCTGTTTGATAAAATTCCCACCCTGAACTTGAGTATGTGATAATATTCAATAATAGTGAGAGCGCCACCTAGTGGTGAAAGGAAATTTCATTTTCTATACTTCCATGTTCTATTCCAAGCAGGATGATCAGATCGAGCTGAAATTTAGTCAGGAAATGATTAACATGTTGTTGATGATTTTTCATGATTGTGGTGAGTTTTTGTTAAAGGGGCGTGTCCGTGGTGTGGAGTCAAATTTTAATGTACCGCCAGAACACACACAGTTGCTTTAACTTAAAACTTGAAAGGAAATGTAATTTTTATACTTTTATGTATATCTTCCAGCAGATTGACCAGGTCCGGCTGAAATTCTGTCAGAAGTTCCTTAGGAATTTATTGGATCAACTTGAAAATTGGCCAGTACAGTCAAAACAAACTGCAGATAAAAAGTTGTGCTATTTGTGATTGTACATTGAATCGCGTGCCCGTGTCACAAAAGAGATAGTACTCAATGTTGTTTTTTTTCATGTTGTGGTCCACACATGCAGCACCCCCCGAGTTACGTGGAGTGGGAGGGCCGGTTCATCGCTGCTTGCAGCTTTAATTAGACGTGTTTGTGGGTGTGTTAGAGATGTATGCAATGATATGTGACTATAAGAAGCGCATTTGTCTGGAAAGTTTGGTGTATTCACGTCACAAGGAAAGGCTGAGCTGTTTGCTGTTAGTTAACTTTTAAAGTTTGTTAACTTTTATGAAATGTAATAGTGCTCAGTGTGAATATCAGTGGAAAAGATCAAATGAGTTAGTATTTAAAAAATTTTTTTAACCTCTCTGACCTAAATTCATTTCCTTTCTGCTACTTAATGTTAAATGTAGTGGCCTGCAATAGTCAGCTTCCTCTGGTCTTCACCTGTCCACTCTAAACATGCTCTCATTTGTGTTATTTGGATTTTTTTTGTTTATATTAACTTAATGTCACTGATCTGATATTTGGATTTTACATTATCCAGACGCAGTCAGTTGTGGGAAGAAAGAATATGCTCTGCAGGCAGAGAATGAAGACAGTGAGTCAGTATACAAACATCAAGGAGGACAAACTTCCATCACAGAACAACAGCTGACTGCACTTGAGAAGTTTTCAGAGGATGTTCAGAATAAGCTGCAAAGCAAAAATGTCCCAGTGCTGCCTTATGATTGTTCATCTCTGTCTTCCTCCAGGAGTCTTCCTGTTTCTAATAGACAGATGTTTTTGGACAGTCAGCCCTATTGGCATTTCCAAATAAAGAGAATACAAAGTCAAATTTCCACCTTAGAAAAACTGATAGCTGCAGATGAGAACTTTTCAGAGGAGGATGTTCAGGATAAACTGCAAAGCAAAAGTGTCCCCAGATTGTCTCGTGATCATTCCCTTCTTCCTCCCAGTCTCTTCACCATAATCAAAGGTGAGGTGGAGGAGAAAATAGACAGAGAGAAGACAAGTGACACACCGCAGGCAGATAATGAAGACAGTGAGTCAGTATACAAACATCAAGGAGGACAAACTTCCATCACAGAGCAGCAGCTGACTGCAGATGACAACTTTTCCGAGAATGGTGTTCGGGAAAAGATGGAAAGTATTTTAGGATTATCTCCTTCTTCCTCCAGTGGTTATTCTTCTTCTTCTTCCTCCAAGATGGTTCTTGATGTAACATGTGAAAAGATAAATCACAACCTGCATTCTCTTAATTTAATAGTGCCTCGTCTACAAAGACAAATTTTAACCTTAGAAAAACAGCTGACTGCAGAGAAGAAGTTTTCAGAGAAGGATGTTCAGGATAAACTGCAAAGTAAAAGTGTCCCAGGATTGTCTCATTATTCCTCCAGTGGTTATTCCTCTCCTTCTTCCTCCAAGAAAAATCTTGATTTAACGTATAAAAGGATCAATCACAACCTGCGTTCTCTTAATTCAGTTTTGCCTCGTCTAAAAAGAAAAATTTCAACCTTAGAAAAACAGCTGACTGCAGATAAAAGGTTTCCAGAGGAGGATGTTCAGGATGAGCTGTACGGTGAAACTGTCCCTCCATGGTCTTGTTATTCCTATCCTTCTTCCACCAAAAGGATTCTTGATTTCACTTATAAAAGGATAAATCACAACCTGCATTCTCTTAATTCAAAATTGCGACTTCTAGAAAGGGATATGTCATACTTAGAAAAACATATTACTGCACATGAGAAGGTTTCACAGAAAGGTGTTCAGAATAAGCTGCCAACCATATTGCGTCATTATCGTTCTTTGGGTCTTGATTATGTAAATAAACGGAAGAAGGGAAATTGGAGCGGCTACAGTAGAAAGAAAAAATCTAAAACCCATTTTACTGCTCCTGTCATTGATTCCTCTGACGGCACGTTGGATCAACCTCCGCCTGCTAGACTCACAGAAACAGTATCGATAAAGAGTCCCTCCTCTGCATCAGATGTTACACCAGGAGCCAATCAGGATAAAACCCCGGAAATGGAGCTTCATGCAACAGTTGATCCCACCGCCATTCAACTCTCACCCAAAGATGGTGTTTGTTTAGAGTCTGCATCTCCTGAAAATTCTAGCAGCTCAGATGAAATGTGTGGAGACATTGATCCAAACTCAATCTTTCAGCTTCCAGTTAGAGAGGACACAGATGATAGTGGCCCCAGCTTTTACTCAAGTTCTACTGTCAACATTGAAGAAAGTGGAGCACAAGATGCTTTTAAGCTGTTGTCTGTGCAGTCTGAAAGCGATACAGGAGATGTCAGTGATGCCCCGGTGGAAATGGATGCATCTATTACAGCTGAGAACTACTCAGCCACAAACACCCTGCCAACCCGTTCTCACCTCCAGAACAACTCCTCAGATCCTGGTTCCAGTAAAAGAGACTCCAGCAGTTTGTCTCGCTCTCACAGCGTTCCCTCACTGAGTCTAACAACCTCTGCAGACAACAAGACCTTTACACGAGCAAAGAGCTTACCTGACATGCTGTTCAAAAACAGCTTTGAGGAGTTTACACCTGATATCACTGCTGATGAGAACGATGAAAGCTACAGGTTCCAGTGCTCCTGCCCAGGCCTGTACCAGTGCAGTGTGACAGGTCTGCTGTTCCACATGGAGGGAGAAGGGGACGTGGTCTACAGGATTGTCCCTTGGGACAGGAGGCTACTGGGCCAACATCACAAGCAGCCTGCAGGACCGCTGTTTGACATCAAATGTGTGCAGCAGTCTATGTGTCAGCTTCATCTCCCACACTGTGAGATCCGCTCCACAGGTGGTTGTGGATTCTTGTCAGTTGCTCATGTGAATGATGACAGCATCAAGTTCATCGCCCCTCATAAGATAACAGAAACTCATGTTATCATAAACATCACAGGGTTTTCTGGTTTCGGTAACGTCAAGGATGAAGACTCATCACCTGACCCGGTCCGAGCCAAGGTTCTGCTGTTCTACAGACCCCCGGCTGATCCTGATCCAGACTCCCTCCTCAATGTGTTGTTGCTACCAACGAACGTCGTGCTCCGGGATGTGCTACGCACCAGGAAGGAAAGACATAAAAATGAGAACTACATAGAGACATCCCCCCACTGTAAACTGCACCCAAAGCAGGAATACAAACTGTCCACTTGTCCTGAAGATGACTCAGTTCTAGTTCAACCAACAGAAGCAGAATTTCACTGTGACGACTATAAAGAATACTACCCAACTTTCCAGGTGGATCTAGAAAAAATCATGAAACATATTAAACTGTTTTTGAGAGAAACCAAAAGCCCCCACAGTGCCTGGGAAAGACGAGTTTGTCTTTCATCCAGTGCAGTAAAAAGGTGTGTGCAGGGCAGTTCAGATGAGAGGCTGTTGGACATTCGGAGCAGCTTCATCGATGGGATATCAGGACCTGTTCTCAAAAGTCTGCTGGACAAACTGTTTGAGAAAACGGTGCTGACTGATTCTGAGAGGGAGTCAGCGGACGAGATCCAGAACAAAAGTGACAAAGCTCGTTTTGTTATCGACACAGTGAGGAAGAAAGGTGAAGCTGCTGGTTCAGAGATGATTGACTTTCTCTGTGAGGTCGACCCCTTCCTCTCTGAACACCTCGGGTTGATCTGAAGCTGAATGAACAGGTGATACATGCAGAACATGTTGACCTGAAGGTTAGAAACTGATCATTCTGTAACTCCCATAAAAGACTTTTCCCTGCATCAGTCACGGTTCTTGATCTAGTCCATTTTTCCCATTCAAATCAATCAACTGTAGATATGGATGTTTGTCACCTGATTTTTACCAATCACTGATGCTTTCTGTTTGATGTTTGTACACCTTTGATGGTTTATTTCACTTATGTTTTATGGTGTCAGGTACGTTTTATTGCTTTCTGTCAGGTTCAAGAACCAGGTGTCAGTTAAGGTGCTAATGTGGATCCAAATGAGATGACAATAAAATCTAATTATATATTTTTTACATTGTGCAAATGGAAATATAACAATGCAAGAGAAAGCCTATGGCTGTTATTGTCTATATACTATTTTTGACTGTGACTACTGGGTCTGTTTGATGTCTAATTGTAGCTTTTCGCTTATCACAGATTTTGGTATCAGCACTTATGTTGTTGTAATGTTGTTGTTGATATTGATTAACTCTTAGCTACTGAATGGTTTTTGTACTACTATTTGTTGTCACTGTTTACGAAGGATTTACATTCATGATTTCTATTTAAAAAACATCTTTAGCAACTAGATTTGAATTGTATCTAACCTAAAGGGGGATTTGTTATGGATGCATTAAAGATCAGTTGTGTAACATTGAGGGGCTCTATCAGCAGAAATGGAATATAATAATCCTAGGTGTGTAATCACCTGAATATAGGAATTTTGTGTTTTTGTGACCTTAAAATGAACTGTTTTTATGTCCAGATGCTGCTGGGAACCTTCGATGGAGTCTAGTCCTTTAAGAGAGTTATAGTTGTGCATTATACCGTGGCAATGACAGCATCATTTTGCATCTGTACATTTCACCAGATTCTAACACACACCCATCCCTACTGATCATGTCAAGTTTAACCAGTTTCCCAGCAGCTGGTTTTGTCTTAATAAGTGTTTTTGTGATCTCACAGATGTCGCTTGTCTGCCTGAAACAGACAAATGATTAAATGTTGGTTTAGCCCAGGCCAAAGGTTATATCATTCTGGAAACATCTTTGGAGATGCAGCCTGCGGCTGCATAAATATGGAGGCTAAAAATTGCGTTCTTGACCTTGGAAACAGCTCAACAACCTCACTGCAAGATCCATTCAGTAGCTGTTCTGGAGTTCGCTGTGTGACTCATTAGTCAAATCTTTAAATGATTTTTAAAAAAGCCCAGTGGGATGTTGTACATCTTTAGTGACTTCCAACCAATCTCTGCCATACAGCTCTGAAGCAACAGCAACCACACAACAGATGTATTTAAATAAACAACATTTTAATCCCAGTCGTATCTTTCCAACAAATAATACACCAGAACATCTCCACCATTATGTTTTACTCACAGTATGTTATAGGCTCCATATCAGTGGTGGAGAGTGACTAAGTACATTTTCATTTCATGCTAATTCATATTTCTGCTCCTATTGTACTTTTTACTTCTCTACATTTAAATGCTTACTTCCACATGAGGATTTTACTACAAAAACAGAACTTGCAAATTAAATTATTAAATAAAATGCACAGCAAAGGATTAAAGCAGTGCAGCATACAATAATGAAGCACTTCTGGATCTTGTACATCAAATCTCCAGTATACGGTGACATTAATACATTTTTTTAAAGGAACAGTTCAACCTTTTGCAAACAACGCTTCTTTGCTTTCTTTCTTAAAGATGGATATCAGTATCGTGTGTGTACTGAGTGCGCAGCTGAAGTCAGGATAACATTAAAAACCTGAAGCAGGAGGAACAACAAGTCTCTGACCTAATTTTAATGATAAAAAAAGGAAGTAAAACATGTTTAACCTTTACAGAAGCAGAACTGTGGAAATAATTTGTGGTTTTTGGCGTAATTACATGCTGAAACAAATTGTAGCTGAACAACAGCTGGACATAAAGTGTTATGATCACAGTGAGGTTGATAGATTCAGTAACCTGTGCTATAGCCAGAGACAGTGTACAGGGGTACACAGGTGTATATGTATGTAAATAACTGCACATATTGGTTCATTTGATTTATTTTATATGTCATTCTATGCATTTAATTTTCTGTGTGTGTAGCATGAAGGAGCTGCAAACCCACCTTTTGTTATAAAACCTTGTGGTGTATAATGATAAATACATTTCCATTTGTTATAACATTGAATTAGACTTATGAAATAGAACCTTGAAGTCATGTTCTTGTAACTGAATGAGCAGACTTGATTTCTCACCTCCCTGAAACATACAGTCATCCCATAGGCAGAAATACCTGCTGTAATACAATGTGTAATTGGTTGGAAGGTGTGGAGGCGACACTCGTCATCCAGAGTGGAAATTAGACAGAGAACCGATAGAGAAGAGCTCAACATTTATTCTGATTTCAGGATATAAAAAGTTTCAAGGTTGAAGAGATTGTCCGCAGCTGATGTGTTAATCCATCCATAACACGGGTAAGAAGTTCTGCTTATTTATATGATACCGAAATAATGACTGCGTGTGTGGATGTGCATGTGAGAACAAGTCCATTTAATGCTGTTCTCTCTTCAAGCACATTTTCTCTTGTAACATGAAAAGACCTGCTAACTAATTACTGTTCGTGTTTACAAAGCTACAGACTGAACAGTTTAACAGTGTTAACAGAGACATGAGCAAAACTGGCAAAGAAGAACAAATGAGTGAACATATATCTTTTGATAGACCTCTCTCACAGTGAGTGTTAGATTTGTTAAATACAGTTATAATTAAAAACATTATTCTGGAGCCCACATCTTTCATTCTAAAATCCGGAGTCTTCATCATGGCTGCTAGATGTCACTAAATCCTACACACTGTAAAGGCCAAAACACAATGTAAGGTAAAGTCATCCCAGTATGTTTTAATGTCATTTCTTTATTTTAGGGTCCGGGACAAGAAGAAAATCAGAGCAGGAAACATGCAGAATGAGTTTTAAAAGCTTCTTGGGATCAAGTTGAAAAAAGAAAAGATGGAACCAAAAGAGGGAAAAACCCTGTGTCCCTCCTCCGCTGAGTGTGGCGCAGGCAGTTGTGAGAAGACAGGTGTCTCAAGGGCAGAGAAGGAGGAGTTAAATGAAGATAGAAGTGACTCATTATTCAAACATATAAGTCAAACTTCCATCTCACAAAAACAGACGACTGCTGATGGGAAGTTATTGAAGGATGGTGTTCAGGGTCAGCCTTCTCGAAAAAGAGTCTCTTATTTAGATGACGCGCGCCGCTTTAGTGAATCTAGCACACGTCAGTACTTTCTGCTTTCTTCTCTTCGCTCTTCTCTAACACAACCAAGCAAGCACATTAGCTCAGCCCAGTCCATACGCAATCACGTCAGTCAACAATCACCTGAACCACCAAGTCTCTCACTGTACGGCAGCTTGAGCACTGTCAGCTGCAGCAAAACCAAAAGTGACATGGAGGAGAAATCCACAACATCAGCACATCCTTCTGCCGTGACTTCCTGTAGCAGGCTCCGTTTTTTTAACGGTCCTTCCTTGTTCAACCCGCCCACCAGTTCTTGGTCCATCACCACTTCTGATGTGGGCCCTCTGTATCCAGAAGAAAGCTGCGATTACACGACCGATACAGACTCCACTGACTCTGATTGTGACAAGTATGAATCCAGCAAAATGAAGGCAAGTGTGAAAGGAACAGTTGAACAGGACATGAAAGAACATATAAGAACAAGAAGATTAACCGAAATAATCAGGAGAAATCTGTCCAGAGGTAATTCTTCCACTGTCCACTGTAATGCTCGCCGACAGGATGAGACATCTGATGGAGGATGCTTTCTCCATACTGAATATGAAAATCTGTCATCTAACTATGAAGGTGCTGATTGTCTTTCAACTCCTTCACCCTCACTATGCAGGGTCGTACATCTTGAAAACAGACAAAGATCTACTTTAAGTAGACACACCTCCTCACAGTTTACGGCCCCAACTGTTGCTCGCCCTCCATGTCCACAAAGAAGGCACAGACTCCTCCATGACTCTACTGTCAGCACTGAAGAAAGCAGAACACAAGATGCTTTTGAGCTGTTGTCTGTGCAGTCTGAAAGCAATACAGGAGCTGTCAGTGATGCTCCGGTGGAAATGGATGCATCTGTTACAGCTGAGAACTACTCAGCTGCATGGTCTCAGGTCCAAAACAGAAAGGACACAGATGATGGGTCCTCGGGTCTTTATGATTGGGGTAGCTGGCATAAATCAGGGTTACATCCTCTCCCTCAGCTTCCTTTGAACTATCCATCACTGTCTGAACTGACTGAACGTCTGCCACAGTCAACTGTGTTCTCAGGTCCATTTAACTGGAATTATGTCAGTGGTTCATATCAAGCATTGCATGAAAAGTCAGACCTCAGAGATTTGGGGGCTGGCCCCAGCTCAGCACAAAGAACAAATCCTGGCAACCCCGGAGATTTTAACCATTACTCTGGCTCCATGTCCAACACGTCTACCGGCACTCAGTCCATCATCCCGACAAAAAACACCTGTCTGGTTCTGGCTGCCGATTCTCACCTTCAACAACCCTTCGATGGCTCTTCCCCAGTTAACTCTCCTGTGTCTTCTTCAAGTTATAAACAGAAGAAGGGAAATTGGCGCAGCTACAGAAGAATGAAAAAAATCAAAAACCCATTTTACTGCTCCTTTCATTGATTCCTCTGACGACACGCTGGATCAACCTCCGCCTGCTAGACTCACAGAAACAGTATCAATAAAGAGTCCCTCCTCTGCAGCAGATGTTACACCAGGAGCCAATCAGGATAAAACCCCAGAAATGGAGCTTCATGCAACAGCTGATCCCACCGCCATTCAACTCTCACCCAAAGATGGTGTTTGTTTAGAGTCTGCATCTCCTGAAAATTCTAGCAGCTCAGATGAAATGTTTGGAGACATTGATCCAAACTCAATCTTTCAGCTTCCAGTTAGAAAGGACACAGATGATGGTGGCCCCAGCTTTTACTCAAGTTCTACTGTCAACATTGAAGAAAGTGGAGCACAAGATGCTTTTAAGCTGTTGTCTGTGCAGTCTGAAAGCGATACAGGAGATGTCAGTGATGCTCATGTGGAAATGGATGCACCTTTCACAGCTGAGAACTACTCAGCCACAAACACCCTGCCAACCCGTTCATTTGAGGAGTTTACACCTGATATCACTGCTGATGAGAACGATGAAAGCTACAGGTTCCAGTGCTCCTGCCCAGGCCTGTACCAGTGCAGTGTGACAGGTCTGCTGTTCCACATGGACGGAGAAGGGGACGTGGTCTACAGGATTGTCCCTTGGGACAGGAGGCTACTGGGCCAACATCACAAGCAGCCTGCAGGACCCCTGTTTGACATCAAATGTGTGCAGCAGTCTATGTGTCAGCTTCATCTCCCACACTGTGAGATCCGCTCCACAGGTGGTTGTGGATTCTTGTCAGTTGCTCATGTGAATGATGACAGCATCGAGTTCATCGTCCCTCATAAGATAACAGAAACTCATGTTATCATAAACATCACAGGGTTTTCTGGTTTCGGTAACGTCAAGGATGAAGACTCACCACCTGACCTGGTCCGAGCACTGGTTCTGCTGTTCTACAGACCCCCGGCTGATCCTGATCTTGAATCTCTCCTCAATGTGCTGTTGCTACCGACGAACGTCGTGCTCCGGGATGTGCTGCGCATCAGGAAGAAATTAGTTGGAGATGAAAACTACATAGAGACATCCCCCCACTGTAAACTGCACCCAAAGCAGGAATACAAACTGTCCACTTGTCCTGAAGATGACTCAGTTCTAGTTCAACCAACAGAAGCAGAATTTGACTGTGATAACTATGACAACTACTTCCCATCATTCCAGGTGACTTTAGAAAAAATCATAAAACATATTAAACTGTTTTTGAGAGAAACCAAAACCCCCCACAGTGTCTGGGAAAGACGAGTCTGTCTTTCACCCAGTGCAGTAAAAAGGTGTGTGCAAGGCAGTTCAGATGAGAGGCTGTTGGACATTCGGAGCAGCTTCATCGATGGGATATCAGGACCTGTTCTCAAAAGTCTGCTGGACAAACTGTTTGAGAAAACTGTGCTGACTGATTCTGAGAGGGAGTCAGCGGACGAGATCCAGAACAAAAGTGACAAAGCTCGTTTTGTTATCGACACAGTGAGGAAGAAAGGTGAAGCTGCTGGTTCAGAGATGATTGACTTTCTCTGTGAGGTCGACCCCTTCCTCTCTGAACACCTCGGGTTGATCTGAAAATCTGATCATCCTGTAACTCCCAGTAAAGTTTTTCCCTTCATCTGTCACTGTTCTTGATCTCTTCTTGACAACAATGATGTAGGACACTTTTTCCTCAAACCAATCCTACCTACTTGTTGGCTGAGAAACAATAAGAATAAGAATAAACAACCACATACCTTGTGACAGAAAAGTGAGCAGAGCGGAGGAAAAGGTCAGCAGTAAGTTGTCAGTAAATGTACAGTGTAGGTTACAGTCAGTTAATAAATGCTGCAGCTTCTCAAGACCAAGAAAAGCCCCTGCAACTACCCCTGCCTACATTCAAGAGTCCAGATCTAGGGTTTCGGTAGCGTACCTTTATGGATTAGGTACGGGTTTGAAGGACAGTGTACTGAGTGTTTGGTGGAAATGCAGCTATAGTGTAACACAGATGTGTATTTGTTCAGGTATGTTTGTATGTGCTGTATGTAGTTGGCCTTCATGTATCTCCTATAACTGGTAAAAGATAAAGATTTAAAGATAAAGGTCAACAGTTTTTATAGGAACCTCATGATCTAGTGAATCCATATACATAACTGTACATTGATATCAATCCATAATCAATCTATATGCTGCAGCTGTTCAAACTAATTAACTGTTAATATGGACTGTTGTTAAATGCTGAATTTATATATATGTAACTACTTCTTTTTTACTAATTGATTTATCTAAAACATATTTCACAGGGTGCTTTGGTAGTACTGGATGTTTGTTGTTATTTTATTGTTGTTTTTATTCTGTGTAGTTTTTTCTGTCAGGTCCCCAACGAGAACCAGCTGTAATTAAGTTTTATTATTAACAAAAATGAATGGGACTTTTAAGGTACATTAGGTAAAACCTTTTATTTGCTTTTCATTCATTGTCAGTACTGTTAGTAACACTGATATCATCACCTCATATGGTTGAAATCAAACAATGATTTTCTGCTTGATTGTTCATCTTATAATAAAGTCTTGTGTTTTATTGTTAAACTATCTTATCTTGTATCTCAAAATAACAACTCTCTTAAATTAGTTTTATTCCCCCATTAGCCAGCAGGGGGAGCCATTTGTTTGGTAATGGTCAGAGTACATGGGGGGTCAGATCTACTGTGATTAAACATGATGTGAGAAACACTGAGAAATGAGCCCATTGAGAAGAGAAATCACAAAAACAAGCTGACAGCAACAATACAATCTCTTTATATGTATTTCCATAGTGCCAGTGGACATATAACAAAGCAAGAGAGGCTCTAGAAGGCAGCTTTATTCATTCATCATTTAGATTTCAATGGTGTTTAACTCTCAGATATTGACGGGATAAAATATGTTTTTGTACTAGTATGTATACGGCTGCTGTATCATTGAATATATATGTTTAAAAACAAGCAGTGAATGAATCAATTAAACTCAACTTTATAGTAACTTTACATTTAGGATTTGATGTGTTTGAAGTCATTGTAAAACTTTTTAAAATTACATTTAATTTTAGTTTAGTTCTTTGTTTTCTGGCCTTTCATTTCCTTTTGTACTTATTGTCAGTAGTGTCAGTAACACTGTGACTCTGCAGTCAGTCAGATTTATTCCAGGTGAGTTCCTGACCTCTTGTGGTTGGACTGAAACAATGTTTTTCACTAAAAGATATTTAATTTCCTCCTGGTGATCAATAACATATCATTATATCATTGTGAATGTTCAGTCAGTGGTTATAAAACAGTGAAATCTTTTTATATATTTTCAACATTTTGCCAGTGTGAATCTAACGGTGCAAGAAGAGGCCTAGAAGACAGCTATACCCCATCATAAAACAGTGTCATTGCTGTATGTTAGTGTTGGATTTTACAGCATTTATATCGTTATAATAGATTATCGGTGTGGAAAACGCTGCAGATCACAAGCTGGACACAGAGGGGCCCACACAAAGAGGAGCCTAGGGGCCCCATGAACACCTTAATCGGATGAGTTACTTAACATTTTGTATTTATTACTCATTCCCCATTCAAAAGTAATATTATTACTTTACATATTACTCCCTGCCAACAGTAATCAGTTACACTACTCGTTATATTACCTTTCTGCTCCCTACAAATCAGTAATTGTGTCCCTAAAATTCAGACTTACGACGGTTAAAATCCAGTTTTATTTGTTAAAATCTAAATAATGTTAATATTTCCAGCTGCTGAATGTTTCCATCTTTCAAACTAGTTTCCTCCACGATTACAGAAATGAATCCAAGGATGTTATTGGATTGTTGGATTTTACATCAGTAGAGGAGTGACACCAGAAGTAATGTAACTAATTATGTTTTGAGGGGTAAGTGTAATGTTATTACTCACATGTATTAATAATGAGTTACAGTAGTTACTGAGGTATAAGTAAGTAATATTATCACTAGTAAAGCCTTTCTTCCCACAGCAGGTGTGGCCCACTGGCTTTGTGAATAATGTGAATGCTCATGAAACCGAAAGTAGATACGTGGACTCGAGTGGCACTATTTGTCCTCCATACTTTCGACACACTAACACGGAAGCCCGAAGTTCACTCAGGTGTTTCTTGTAGCTACACGAACCACAGAGATGGAAAAATATCCACTCTGAAGTCTTCCGACCGGATTAAACAACGACGTCCAACGGAGAAGCCAGCAGAGACCCGGAGAGGACCCTGTCCATCAGAGACACTTTGTAGGCGGACAACGCTGCTGTCAACACACCCAACTGCGCACATCGAGCACATAATCGATGACTTTACACACTTTTTAAAAAGAGGAATATGACTGTGTGTGTGTGTATAGTGGGATATATCGATCACAGGACAGAACAAGGTGTTGTGTAGATTATCGGAGACTTGGACACAACCCCGGAAACAGCAGTTCACTCCTCTGGTGAAGGCCTACAGCAGAGACAGGAAGGTCCAATGAAATGTAAGAAATGTGCTTTCAGGGGAATTAAGAGACTATTTTGAGAAGAACAACAGCAGGAAGCAGTTTTCTCTTCACATTGAGGCTGATCCATTTGCATGTTCTCACTTTAAAATATTCTTTTATTCTATTTTGTGCTGATGTCTCAATCCAGCCTGAACACAAGTTAGAAGGACTTTATTTATACAACCCTGAAAAAGGCTAATGACTTTAAACTGACATGTTGCTGTGAGACACATCCTCATTGAACAGCTTTTTGTCTCCTTTCTGCTTCACAAGTGCCCATTCTTTCATTATTATGTGGTAAACACCAATGTAATGTTGTGTTTGTGAAATGTAAAACAACTTTATACTCCACAAAGGATTTGAATCTTTCATTCTCTGCTTTATTTCAGGGTCTGAGACAAGAGCAAAAAAACACTGAGCAACAGCAAGGAGGTTTTTTAAAAGTTTCTGTTTAAGATCAAGTTGAGAAAAATATGGAAGACAAAAAGGGAAATACTCGGTGTGACGCAGACAGTGAGTCAGTATACAAACATCAAGGAGGACAAACTTCCATCACAGAACAACAGCTGACTGCAGATGAGACGTTTTCAGAGGATGTTCAGGATAAGCTGCCTCATGATTGGTTATGTCCATCTTCCTCCAGGAGTCTTCCTGTTTCTAATAGACAGAAGTTTTTGGAAGGTCTGCACTCTTTTTATCCCTATTTGAGTCTAGAATGTCAAATTCCCCCCTTTACAAAATGGATAAATGAAAAGTTCCCAGAGGAGGATGTTCAGGATGAACTGCAAAGCAAAAGTGTCCCAGTGCTGCCTCATGATTGTTCATCTCCATCTTCCTCCAGGAGTCTTCCTGTTTCTAATAGACAGATGTTTTTGGACAGTCTGCCCTATTGGCATTTCCAAATAAAGAGAATACAAAGTCAAATTTCCACCTTAGAAAAACTGATGGCTGCAGATGAGAAGTTTTCAGAGGAGGATGTTCAGGATAAGCTGCAAAGCAAAAGTGTCCCCAGATTGTCTCGTGATCATTCCCTTCCTCGTCCCTACATCATCAACAAAACCAAAGGTGAAGTGGAGGAGAAAATAGACAGAGAGAAGACAAGTGACACACCGCAGGCAGAGAATGAAGACAGTGAGTCAGTATACAAACATCAAGGAGGACAAACTTCCATCACAGAGCAGCAGCTGACTGCAGATGACAACTTTTCCGAGAAAGGTGTTCGGGAAAAGATGAAAAGTATTTTAGGATTATCTCCTTCTTCCTCCAGTGGTTATTCTTATTCTTCTTCCTCCAAGATGGTTCTTGATGTAACATGTGAAGAGATAAATCACAACCTGCATTCTCTTAATTTAATAGTGCCTCGTCTACAAAGAAAGATTTTAACCTTAGAAAAACAGCTGACTGCAGAGAAGAAGTTTTCAGAGAAGGATGTTCAGGATAAACTGCAAAGTAAAAGTGTCCCAGGATTGTCTCATTATTCCTCCAGTGGTTATTCCTCTCCTTCTTCCTCCGAGAAAAATCTTGATTTAACGTATAAAAGGATCAATCACAACCTGCGTTCTCTTAATTCAGTATTGCCTCGTCTAGAAAGAAAAATTTCAACCTTAGAAAAACAGCTGACTGCAGATAAAAGGTTTCCAGAAGAGGATGTTCAGGATGAGCTGTACGGTGAAACTGTCCCTCCATGGTCTTGTTATTCCTATCCTTCTTCCACCAAAAGGATTCTTGATTTCACTTATAAAAGGATAAATCACAACCTGCGTTCTCTTAATTCAAAATTGCGACTTCTAGAAAGGGATATGTCATACTTGAAAAAACATATTACTGCACATGAGAAGGTTTCACAGAAAGGTGTTCAGAATAAGCTGCCAACCACATTGTGTCGTTATCGTTTTTTGGGTCATGATTATGTAAATAAACGGAAGAAGGGAAATTGGAGCGGCTACAGTAGAAAGAAAAAATCTAAAACCCATTTTACTGCTCCTGTCACTGATTCCTCTGACGACACGTTGGATCAACCTCCGCCTGATAGGCTCACAGAAACAGTATCGATAAAGAGTTCCTCCTCTGCAGCAGATGTTACACCAGGAGCCAATCAGGATAAAACCCCGGAAATGGAGCTTCATGCAACAGCTGATCCCTCCGCCATTCAACTCTCACCCAAAGATGGTGATTGTTCAGAGTCTGCATCTCCTGAAAAGAAAATAAGAAAGTCTAGCAGCTCAGATGAAATGTTTGGAGACATTGATCCAAACTCAATCTTTCAGCTTCCAGTTAGAAAGGACACAGATGATGGTGGCCCCAGCTTTTACTCAAGTTCTACTGTCAACATTGAAGAAAGTGGAGCACAAGATGCTTTTAAGCTGTTGTCCGTGCAGTCTGAAAGCGATACAGGCGATGTCAGTGATGCTCATGTGGAAATGGATGCACCTTTTACAGCTGAGAACTACTCAGCCACAAACACCCTGCCAACCCGTTCATTTGAGGAGTTTACACCTGATATCACTGCAGATGAGAACGATGAAAGCTACAGGTTCCAGTGCTCCTGCCCAGGCCTGTACCAGTGCAGTGTGACAGGTCTGCTGTTCCACATGGAGGGAGAAGGGGACGTGGTCTACAGAATTGTCCCTTGGGACAGGAGGCTACTGGGCCAACATCACAAGCAGCCTGCAGGACCCCTGTTTGACATCAAATGTGTGCAGCAGTCTATGTGTCAGCTTCATCTCCCACACTGTGAGATCCGCTCCACAGGTGGTTGTGGATTCTTGTCAGTTGCTCATGTGAATGATGACAGCATCGAGTTCATCGTCCCTCATAAGATAACAGAAACTCATGTTATCATAAACATCACAGGGTTTTCTGGTTTCGGTAACGTCAAGGATGAAGACTCACCACCTGACCCGGTCCGAGCACTGGTTCTGCTGTTCTACAGACCCCCGGCTGATCCTGATCTTGAATCCCTCCTCAATGTGTTGTTGCTACCGACGAACGTCGTGCTCCGGGATGTGCTGCGCATCAGGAAGAAATTAGTTGGAGATGAGAACTACATAGAGACATCCCCCCACTGTAAACTGCACCCAAAGCAGGAATACAAACTGTCCACTTGTCCTGAAGACGACTCAGTTCTAGTTCAACCAACAGAAGCAGAATTTGACTGTGATAACTATGACAACTACTTCCCATCATTCCAGGTGACTTTAGAAAAAATCATGAAACATATTAAACTGTTTTTGAGAGAAACCAAAAGCCCCCACAGTGTCTGGGAAAGACGAGTCTGTCTTTCACCCAGTGCAGTAAAAAGGTGTGTGCAAGGCAGTTCAGATGAGAGGCTGTTGGACATTCGGAGCAGCTTCATCGATGGGATATCAGGACCTGTTCTCAAAAGTCTGCTGGACAAACTGTTTGAGAAAACTGTGCTGACTGATTCTGAGAGGGAGTCAGCGGACGAGATCCAGAACAAAAGTGACAAAGCTCGTTTTGTTATCGACACAGTGAGGAAGAAAGGTGAAGCTGCTGGTTCAGAGATGATTGACTTTCTCTGTGAGGTCGACCCCTTCCTCTCTGAACACCTCGGGTTGATCTGAAAATCTGATCATCCTGTAACTCCCAGTAAAGTCTTTCCCTTCATCTGTCACTGTTCTTGATCTCTTCTTGACAACAATGATGTAGGACACTTTTTCTCAAACCAATCCTACCTACTTGTTGTTGGCTGAGAAACAATAAGAATAAGAATAAACAACCACATACCTTGTGACAGAAAAGTGAGCAGAGCGGAGGAAAAGGTCAGCAGTAAATTGTCAGTAAATGTACAGTGTAGGTTACAGTCAGTTAATAAATGCTGCAGCTTCTCAAGACCAAGAAAAGCCCCTGCAACTACCCCTGCCTACATTCAAGAGTCCAGATCTAGGGTTTCGGTAGCGTACCGAAGGGTTTCGGTACCGTACCTAACCTTTACGGGTTAGGTACGGGTTTGAAGGACAGTGTACTGAGTGTTTGGTGGAAATGCAGCTATAGTGTAACACAGATGTGTATTTGTTCAGGTATGTTTGTATGTGCTGTTTGTAGTTGGCCTTCACGTATCTGCTATAACTGTTAAAATATAAAGATTTAAAGATAAAGGTCATCAGTTTTTATAGGAACCTCATGATCTAGTGAATCCATAGACATAACTGTACATTGATATCAATCCATAATCAATCTATATGCTGCAACTGTTCAAACTAATTAACTGTTAATATGGACTGTTGTTAAATGCTGAATTTATATATATGTAACTACTTCTTTTTTACTAATTGATTTATCTAAAACATATTTCACAGGGTGCTTTGGTAGTACTGGATGTTTGTTGTTATTTTATTGTTGTTTTTATTCTGTGTAGTTTTTTCTGTCAGGTCCCCAACGAGAACCAGCTGTAATTAAGTTTTATTATTAACAAAAATGAATGGGACTTTTAAGGTACATTAGGTAAAACCTTTTATTTGCTTTTCATTCATTGTCAGTACTGTCAGTAACACTGATATCATCACCTCATATGGTTGAAATCAAACAATGATTTTCTGCTTGATTGTTCATCTTATAATAAAGTCTTGTGTTTTATTGTTAAACTATCTTATCTTGCATCTCAAAATAACAACTCTCTTAAATTAGTTTTATTCCCCTATTAGCCAGCAGGGGGAGCCATTTGTTTGGTAATGGTCAGAGTAAATGGGGGGGGGTCAGATCTACTGTGATTAAACATGGTGTGAGAAACACTGAGAAATGAGCCCATTGAGAAGAGAAATCACAAAAACAGCTGACAACAACAAAACAATCTCTTTATATGTATTTCCATAGTGCCAGTGGACATATAACAAAGCAAGAGAGGCTCTAGAAGGCAGCTTTATTCATTCATCATTTAGATTTCAATGGTGTTTAACTCTCAGATATTAATGGGATAAAATATGTTTTTGTACTAGTATGTATACGGCTGCTGTATCATTGAATATATATGTTTAAAAATAAACAGTTAATGAATCAATTAAACTAAATTATTTTGGGCTACTACAACTTAATATGTTTAATAGTATATCATTTATTCATTCATACAGCTCATATAGTTTAGGTTTTCTATAAGATATATGCTTTTAAAAATTTAATTACACTCAAAATAATTCATGTAAGACAAGAAAAAAACTTCATAAAACTCTAAAATAATTGTTGATTATTTTCTGTCCACTGAGTATTTGATTAATCAACTAATCAATGCAACTCTCTTATTTTTAATTCATTCAATTTAATTTGTATATTATTTTGAAAGGACCGAGAAGCCATTTCCTGTTTTCCCCTATCTAACTCCCGCTAGTTTGTCGCCGGTGGATTGATCGATCGCAGCCCCGCTGAGCGCAGCATCTTCCAGGCTTCAGACCGGACGGTGAGCCGCTGACTGTACGGAGCTCCACCGCCGTCTCTCGGATACATTTCCAGCTGTTTTTGTCAGTAAGTTTACGGTAGTGTCGTTGAGTAAGTTTACCGGGACTCTCGGTGTGGACTCCGGTAACATTAACTCATCTCGGGGATAAACAAGTGGATTTGAGCCGCTGGAGAGAACCGAGGAGGTCTGGAGGATGAACCCTCAGTGTGCCCGCTGTGGGAAGATCGTCTACCCGACGGAGAAGGTCAGCTGCCTGGATAAGGTGAGCACTTTTGGTGGTGGTGGAAGAAAAACATTTTTAGTTTTTGTATAGTTTAAAATATGTATCCTCTTACATAATGACATTATAAGTTATAAATTAACTGGTTTTTTTGTAAAGTTGGACAGAAAACGTTAAAGTTTGAGCTGATGCAGTCTGATTGATTCATTGATTGATTGGTGAGCTGCACTGACATTTAATCATGATTTATTCCTTAAGTCTCTTAAAATGTATTTTTGCAAAAATTATACCAAAATGTCCCAATCATTGATTACATAAAATCTATTTTAAAAATCTATTTTATTCTCTCAAATCCAGTAAATTGATTATAGTTGGATTCACATAATAAACATCATTATTAATTTAATTATATTTATAGTAGAGACTTAATGTGCGGGTGTATGAAAGGTTTCTGGTTAATTTAACACACTTTATACATCTTATCTCAATAGTTTAATCCATAAAATGTTCCTTTTAATATTATTGTATCAGCCTTAATGAGGCAAACACTGCTTTTATACACAATTATCAGCCTAATATCAACACTTATATAGTCTTTGGGACTGATATTATATATATTTATATATAAATATGTTATTTATGACAAACAAATAGACTTACAATGATCATAAATGTGAATAAATATCACATGGCACAAGTGGTTATAATAATTATACAATACTAACAGGAATATTTTCAGGACTTTTCTGTGTTTGCATGGTAACGCCTCTGTATTAGTCTGTTGCATAATGGTGATACATTATTAATTTATCTTCAGTGGTCTCATGCATTCACTGTCTGTCCTATGAGGCATCAGATGACACAACAGCATGTAGGCACTGCACATGATATCAGCTCCCACCTTTCACAATAAATATCAACTCCATCCTTCAGTATCTCTGAAATCAGGAGGATCCAGGTTGTAAGAACCAATATGGACGGGATTTTACCGTCTGTCCTGTCTTATGAAAAGCTGACATGACTTGTTTGAAGAGAGACTAAAGGGTATGAAAGAGCTAAAACGGTGCGAGAGGCAGTGATTTTAGAGAGGAGGAGGCTGGCAAAGAAACAAAGAAGTATACGGAGAAAGTGAGAACGAGAGTGTGAGGGCGAGAGAAAGAAGAGTTCCCTGCTGTCCCTCACAAAAGCCCATTTAATCAGGCTTCTGGCAAGACTATAGGAGCTGCGTCTTTTACATTTTACCTAAAATAAAAGACATAAAACCAAGTAAATACTAAAGAACTTTTTATTTTTCCAGGTTTTAATGTGTCACTCCCAACAACATATAGGTAGTTATTCCCCCTGTTAGTCATTTGTGTATGCACAGGGCTCCTCTGTGACATTGGCATCGTGTCTCTCTCTCCACCGACTAAATAATAAGACAATTTCATAAGTTGGATAAAACGTAGGGTTATCATCTGAGGACAATTTAGTGTCTGGGGCGACAACCAATGTTTGGGAGCTTCCGGACAACTGATATCGGACCAAGACTTCCTCTGTAGTCCGATTAATTCAATTCCATTTTATCTGTATAGCGACAATTCATAACAGAAGTTATCTCAGGACACTTTTCAAAAAGAGCAGGCCTAGACCGAACTCTTTAAAACATTATTTACAGAGACCCAACAGTACCACCATGAGCAAGACCTTGGCGACGAGACAGACAGACAGACAGAGAGAGAGAGAGAGAGAGAGAGAGAGAGAGAGAGAGAGAGACAGAGAGAGAGACAGAGAGAGACACACAGAGGTGCACAGCAACAACTAGACTAATAGTAGTGACTGATGATGATGACGACAACAAATCTTAGTCTATTGTTTTTATAGAGATTAAGTTTTGTCAACTAAAATGTTTTCTTTAAAGGAACAGTAACCAAATTACAACTCCCTTACCTCACCCTCCCATTTAAATGCGAAGGAGAAACTATCGTGGTTGCAAAACTCACATAACATACTATAGACCCTCACTAGAGCCAGTTTTATTTGTCCGTTGTCCTGTAGAAACGTGGTACTTCCTGCCTCTACGGTGACGTCTGCTACAACTCTCTGTACGGATTTGCAGTTCGACACCATCGTCTCTTTCATCGCAGTCAAGCTCAGGATTAATACAGAAGGCATATGAGCATAATAACAACTCCAAACACATAATTTAGTGCTGATTCACTCGAAGGATTTGAATAATCCTAATGCAGGACAGATGGAGGGGCGATCTGAACTGGATGTCGAAGGAGCAAATGTTTTTCACTCTGTCGCATGTCGATCTCAACAAATGTCACTTTTCATCCGGCCTCCGACTGTATTTATATTTAGTTGGTGAAAGATTTTCCATTTGCTTCTCTCTAAACACTAGCTGTCAAACTGCATCAGCACAGAATCCAAAAGGGAAGGCAGTCCCCGCCCATGCTGTTTGATTGACAGGCAGGTTTTCGGAGAAGTGCCGTGCAGAGACATCACAGCAGCAGGGGCGGACACAAAAACAAAAAGTAGAGCGTCGAGGTTCAGTTTCGACCTTGGAAACAGCATTCACTTTCAGGCCCCATCACATGGCCTTTCTCAGCATTATGGAGTTGAGCTGTCACAGAGATGGTAAAGGGGTTATCATTTGACCTAATTGTGACTGTAGAAGGATGCTTGAATCAGAGTCAGTGGAGAGAAGATGTTTGCTCCCATATACGACCATTTCTTATAACATGGGCCCCGTAGATAAGTCACCATCTCCGTGACAACTGAGCAAACTCCATCCGCCGAGGAAACACACAATAAGTGAGGAGATTATTATCATTAAATGTATTATTGATATGTGACTCTGTTTGTGTGTGTGTTTCTGCAGAACTGGCATAAAGGATGTTTCCACTGCGAGGTTTGTAAGATGACCCTGAACATGAAGAACTACAAAGGCTACGACAAAAAACCCTACTGCAATGCGTGAGTCCTGATCGCTCTCTCTCTCTCTCAGTGTAACATTTGGGTCTCTCTCTCTCTGTACAGTGTAAATAATATCACATACTACTTAATGTTTTGCACGTATCTCTGCTGAATTTCAGTTTAAGCCCCGTTATGTAACTTTATTACCATAAAACAACAGTTTCAAGTTCATGTTGAAGCTACACTGAGTTGTGTTAAGGTGAATGGTGCCTCCGTTCGCCTGGTCTTGCGCTATACTTTTGGTTTCGGTTCAGGATACTTGCATACCGCTTTAGAGCAGAGGTCACACGCCACAACGTATGTCACTGATTCTGGTGAAACCGGATCATATATTCCCTCTGATGTCCCCCTGCTTGGACTTGGTGCTCAGAGCACTGGGGGGAGTGTTGGTGTTACAATGGTAGCTCAGGAGCTTCAGAGCCCAGAGAGGAGGCGGGGGGGATGCTGACGGAGAGCGTCCGCCGGCGTTGTGTCAGCACTTTAGCTGGGCGAGCAGGCAGTGTAACCGCGCTCAGCAGCTAATGGCGGAGGCTCAGAGACCGAAGAGGATGATGGACGGAGGAAGCTAAGAAGAGTGAAAGAGAGAGAAGCTGTTGGACGGGAGTAACTCTCGGACCGACTTCCTGTCATCTGTGAAATAAAAGGCTGTTGGCTTTCTTGCTGTTGGACCAGTCAGTAATATTAGCTGTTTGTTGTTGCACTTGATGTTTGACTGTGTTAGAAAAGTTGTCAACTTCCTAGTTTTCAATCACAACTAATGCACGTGTCCCTGTTTACCACAGTGGTACTGCTCTCTCCAAATCTCACATAGTGTCGCTTCAAAGTGTTTCCTATTATTTTCTATTTATGAACTCTCTCAGAGTATAAACACCATCCTTTGGCTGCTGTGTTATTATCTGCATCTGTGCCCGTTCGTATCTCCGAGGGCGACCCTTTCAGGTTTTTATAGCAGCGATGGTTTCGGTCGGTGGTTGTTCTTCGGTGGTTTTGGTTGCGAGCCCGGCCCTGCTCCGCTCCCCGCCGCTGGCTCTCTGGATCTGTGCGTTTCTCTATACTGCTAACAGGCTCTAGCTTGTTATTATCTGTAGACCTTCACAGACACACAGCCAGATTAAAAAACCTCAGAGGAAGTAAAACTTGGATCTGTGTTTGATGGATGTTGGTAGTAAATTATAGCTTGTGCTAGTATCTGCAGCGAGGGAAGGTTGTGGCTTTGACCTTTGACCTTGTCTTGTTGCTTGTAATGTGGATGATCTGGGAGCTGAAGCTTATAATTGTAACTGTTTAAGGCCTGTTGATAACTTTGCGATACATAAACTGCAGCAGACATTCAGAAAGAGAAGAAATCCTCGAGGGGAACCAACAGTTTGTTATTTGTTGTCGTTGTGTGGCAGATAAAGAGCTTTTGAATCACAGCCAGCAGTGAAAGAGAACAAACACACACTCTGTCCACCTCACCCTCCTGTCAGACAAACCAGCACTTACTGGCCCTGCAAACACACACACACACACACACTCAGATATATACAGGTACACACACTCACAACAGTGGACTTACTGACAGAGGGGTTAAAGTGACCTTTGACCCTGCGAGGTTAAAAAGGCGTTTCCTCTCAGCTCGTGGAACACACCGTCTTTGTTTCCACTCGCCCTCCTGAAAACAAACAGCAACCCTGTGGTAACGCTGCCAGCCGCGGCTCAAACGTCCCCCCCGTCTGTAGTCCAAGTTTCAGAGAACGTGGATGATGGGATTCACGCAGAAATATGGCGTTTTCAATATAAATTCACAGTTTATTAAGAAACAGGTGCAAACTTAAGGTTTATGTGTTTATGAGACCTGAATCTCAGCAAGCGAGCTGCTCGATTTACAGTAACCTACAATAATAATGGTTATTGTTATTCACTTTTGATGTGCGTGATGGATTTCTCTGCATTCATTCGTACTGAAGGTTGTTTGATTGTACAGTGACTTCACTTACATGCTGCACCTTTATGTTGTAGATATAAAAACAAAGCAGCAGAGCACACAGCGACGTTTTTTCTCCAGTATTCACAGCTTTGTAGGTTAATTCAGGCCAACCCTGCTCGCTGTCTCACACACTGGAGCTAATGGCCTCAGAGTGGGTTTTTTTTCACACACTGTGTTGGAGTGTGTTTGCCCTCTGCTGAGGAATGTCACAGCAGGTCAGTAAGGACCTGCAGGGTTATTTATTCCACTTAACACAACTGCTTTAAAAGAAAACTGAAAGTTTTGAGTCACATGTTTCAGGTTCGATGGGGACTTTCCAAACTTTATTACCTCAACTTCTGCATTAGAAGTTACTCAGTGTGTGCTGCAGTGCCGGGCAATGTACCGGATGAACCGGGGTACCACGTTTAATTTCCCGTATGATGTGAAGTCTTCATGTACCGTCACACTGGTGCATCGCTGAAACAACTGCTGTAACTGTGTCTCACTGCTGCAACAGAACATTAGAGAACTATCTCTGTGAATATTTAACATGTTCATGTTTAATTTTACAGTGTATAGTGTTTTAAATATTTAGTTTTGAAAAGGAAGCAATATTAAAATTGTTGGCATATCTTTTTTATTGTTATTATTTATTTCCCAGTTAAAATAAAAGTTGAATAATTAAAATTGAAATTGAAAATTAAATTTAAACGTGGATCTTGTCCACACTAAAAATATACTATTTTAATAATTTGTTCAGTGATTTGTTAGACAAAAAACAATTAATTAATTGTCAAATCAATCATAATCATTTTGGTTATTTGTTAAATAAAAACAGAACATTTCAAATAAATATCAAAACTTGCTTTACATTTAAATACTTTATTGCTTTACTGGTCATTTCAAGGCTTTAGATTGTGCATTAATAGATATTTTATTAAATAAAAATCAATGTCTTTTAATGTGAAATAGTATAAAGAACAGAGTGCACAGAGGAGATGAAGCCAGTGTTTGGTCGTCGTTCTCTGGGACATTCAGTGTGTACTGAGCTCTTCCACTGCTGCCTGCTGGCTCTCGTGTCCTCTGTGTGTCTGTGTGTCTGTGTGTCTGTGTGTGAGGTCAGTCTGACAGGTTTGTTTGCTGTGCAGATACCAGACTTCCTGCAGGGGTTTCTTACTCATCAGTGAGGGCTTTTTGCTTTTGTGCCTCAGTGTAACATGTAGCGCTCAGTGTACAAACCAGCGTCCTGTAATTAAAAGAGTGTCTCCACGAGGCTCCGGCTTCCCTCTGACGCTCCTCGTTTGCAGTGCGATACAACTGGTGTGTGTTGTCCAAAAGCACGGCAGCTTTGTTTTTCTTGGCTTTTTGTGTCGTGCGTCTGATCCGTCTCCATCGACGGAGCAGAGGCTGCGGTCGACAACAATAACGGTTCTGCCCTGTATGACTTCTCTGTTCATTTCTTCTGTAGCTGCTTCAGTTCATTCTTGAGGTTCTTGGATCGTAAAAAAACATCTGCACTAGAATCTGCACTTCCTGGTCTTGTTGTAGTCGCTGCTGTTGAACTGTGTTCTTTTAAATGTGAGGAGGAGGAACGGGGAAAACATTTTCCTTAGGATACAGGTTTATTATCTAGACAAGCCTCCTAAAACAGAGTACAGAGAAACATCCTGGTCCAGTGGGTCAGTGACAAGAGTTGGGGTTAGTAAAGTGCAAAGATTAGATTCATTGCAGGTGAATAAACATTTCTGCTTTCTGCTTCAGTTACAATTTGAGGCTGAAGTAGATTTCTTTCCTAAGATCAGTGTTTTCTCACTACAATAAGTAATAACAATATTGCTGTAATTTTCACTGCATTAACTACTGAGGTTTAAGTAGGAGTGATAATGTTTTCTCAGGAGGGTCGGGGTCCCTCCTCACCTTTAGGAATGTGTAGGCCGTATTAGGGATGGGAATCAAGAACCGGCAGTCTGGCAAAACAGTGACGTCAAACTTATTTGTCTACGCTGCTGGACACTTGCAAGAAGAAAGAGTCCAAAACGTGCTATAACTCTGTGTTCAGACTGGTGTCAATAAAATCTTATTAAAGAAAAAGGAACACTTTTTTATATTTACACTGAATTTACTTGTGTGAGCTATACGTGTGCAAAGTTGAGGTTGGAGATTTAAAGTGGAAGTGAAGCCTGCTAGCAGATAATGTCTGTCTGCAACAGCTGGATGTTTCTATTCACTGTAAACTGTAAGTTTATGTCATGTTTGGACACTGTTTGTTCGTTTGGACACATCATGAATGGAAACATGGATAGAGTACATTTTCACTTGAAACTGTGGGATAATAAAAAAGCACATAGTTATCTTCAGACTTGGCTTTCTGAATGGGGGGCAGCTGTAAGTTAACAGTGTGTCAGTCCAGATTGAACTTCTATGGATTTTATGACCATGGTCCCGTGCTCCTTAAGATCCAGTCTGCAGATCAAATAGTGGAGGCTGACCAAAAGGAGGGGGATGAGTGGGGAGAAGGATTACAGAAGCACATGAGGCTCACCAAACTTTCAATGTTTGACTTTATCGAAAGGACCAAAACAACCAGAAAGTTTTAACAAACACCTGAATGCATCGTTCTCTCAAGCCGAAGACACACAGAAACCACATAGAAACACATGTGTAGAACTATATATGGACTCCTATGGCGGGTCATGGGATGAGTTTTAATCTGTAGTGTATGACTGGTCTGTGAACCAGGATACCTTATGACCTCTGAGCTGTTATATGAACATGGCAGGTCTGAGCCATTCTTTCCCGCTCTCTGTGGAGACAGACCGCTTGTATAGTTGTATAAAGTCAAGATGTAGTTAGTCAGTTTAATGTTTTCTCATCAGTGGATTTTCTTTATAGTTTTCTCATTTATCTAGAAAAAATGATCGTCAGATAAATAGATAATGAAGCTAATTATTAATTACATTACATACAGCTGTTAACATGTACGCTGATAACGATATGATGCGATAGGTTGGCCAATATAGGACCATAATATCAGGTCAAGCTCTACTCC